GAAAACCCTCCTGTGTGATGGAGTATGACAGGAAAACCCTCCTGTGTGATGGAGTATGACAGGAAAACCCTCCTGTGTGATGGAGTATGACAGGAAAACCCTCTTGTGTGATGGATTATGACAGGAAAACCCTCCTGTGTGATGGAGTATGACAGGAAAACCCTCCTGTGTGATGGAGTATGACAGGAAAACCCTCCTGTGTGATGGAGTATGACAGGAAAACCCTCCTGTGTGATGGAGTATGACAGGAAAACCCTCCTGTGTGATGGAGTATGACAGGAAAACCCTCCTGTGTGATGGAGTATGACAGGAAAACCCTCCTGTGTGATGGAGTATGACAGGAAAACCCTCCTGTGTGATGGAGTATGACAGGAAAACCCTCCTGTGTGATGGAGTATGACAGGAAAACCCTCCTGTGTGATGGAGTATGACAGGAAAACCCTCCTGTGTGATGGAGTATGACAGGAAAACCCTCCTGTGTGAAGGCTGTGATATATAAACATAGCATTTGCAAAATGCCATATAGTAGATCAGGGGTAACCACCTAGTGTGTAGTATTTATTTTTATTAAAGCAGTAAAACTAGGAGTAATAAAACAATCTTGGACGACACTTAGTTCATTCTTAGGCTTACAAATGCTGCACCGCTGCCGCAGTACAGCCTAACAAAAAATGGAAAAAAAATGAATTTGACAGCAGTGTATATTTACATAAATTTACATTAACATATTTATTTACAAAAAGGTATATTCTTAGGGTTATCACCTACAAATAATAATAAATTGATTGTAAGATCTGAACTGTATATGGTGTACTGAAACTGTCTCTGAGTGGGAAAAAAAACACAGTGGGTAGGCCTTAGGTTATGTAAATACTGCATTACAGACTCTCCGGCAGGTCTTACTGACTTAAGGCTATGTTATTACAGAATTCAGCCACCAATTTGTAACGTTGAGGAGTTAAATTACAGTGGAGTGACGTTGTAACTCTGTAATTAGTTCTGAAAACGATGTCAAGAGAGCAATGATATCAGGGTGATCAATAACATGTGTGATAATGCTGTGCTGAGGGAGATTGTGATGTCATTGGCTGGTTCGCTTGCTATTAGAGTGATATTAGCTTATTTTTGGCAGTTACTGATCATTACTGTCAGTACGTCAATGCCATTATTAGTTACCTCAACAGGAATGGTTGATTTAGAGATGTCAAATCTCTGCTTAAGTAATTATCTCATTTACTGACGTATAACGCTACTGATACCGTGACATCATTAAATGTGCCAAGGTGATGTCTTCCAACGTAATTGTTTACGACAGAGTGCCATTTGTGTTGACTCAGCCTGTTACCGCAATATAACTTATGCTGTTACAGCAACATAGCGTTTGCTGTTACCGCAACCTCACTTTGGCTATTACCGCAACATAACTGACTGTTACCGTAACACAACATTCGTTGTTACCCAGCCTTTAGATGTCAAGTTGACCACATCAACTGGTGTTGTCACTGAAGCAGTGAACAAAGGATACTGTTGCTGGAACGCACACGCACGTTAGAAAGCGAACGATTTGATCGTAAGGAAAGTTGCCTGAGCAGAAGTTAAGTTATGCAGCATTACCCTTGGTGAGAACGCTCACTGACAGCACTAACAAACATCACTAAAAGAAAAAACTAAAAGAAATCGAAGTTTTTGATATTTTTAGCCTAAATTATAAATTTCCAATTAATTAAAAGTAATTAACTTCAGCTGTTAAAAGACACTTAATAAAGTATTGTTTGTCAGGTGATAAATTATATACTTTTAATGTATCAAGTGAATCTAGGGGAGAAAACAGACTTAAGTCTCAGACACCCAAGACAGGGAGCCAAGACCGGGTTACCATCTGGAGAAGACCCGGACCGGGAGAGTACCGGCGAATCAAGAAGAATGATTAATTAACCCTTCGACATATAAATCGATAAGAAATAATCCTGATTAATGATACTTACATCCAATAAAAATATTTCATGATACTCAAGAAATCGCTAGTTTAAGGTGAAACACAGGGAAGGAATGAGGGAGACCCAAGGCTGGCAGGTCCAGCGGGAGGATACACTTGCTGTGTGGTGTCCTAATGAGACGCCGGGCTCCTATGTCTTGATATATATGTTATGGGCACCAATGACAAGGAAGATTGGTTGTTCATTTCGACCTCAGCAAACTCAAAAGCAGTTTGTTGCTGTTTGTCACCGGTAAGTGGCTGCATTCTCGTCAGACAGTTGGAAATTATTTCTTGTGGTACAAAGGACTGTGGTCCCAAACGAAGAGTATCACTTCAGTTGCACGTTACTGATTGGCTTTGTAACCTAATAAAGGATAATATAGAAGTTAGCGTGTTGAGATATAATGACTTACCAGCGTGCGAATACTGTTTTTTTTGGGGCAAGTAACCCGTTTTATGGTAGCCATGCTCGAGAAATTATTCTTTAGTGACGTTCATTTAGATCTCGCTTAAAATATAGGGAGATAATTAAGCATCTGCGGTCTCGAGAAGCTTTTCTAAATATCCTCCATAGATTCAATGTATCGTTCTCTTTGGTACTCAAAAATCAGTAAAACGAATTTCTTCTGTTGAAACAGCATCAAGATTGCGAACCACGATACGGTTTGCCTCTCAAATCACTGGATAAGCTTCTTAATGTCAGGTAACGTCGAAAATCTAACGTAGATTTACGCACGTTCTGCGTTAAATAGTGAATATTTTCCTAGGAGGGCGGTTTGCAGAGTATGAGGGCCACCCAGCTGGTGCTGCCTGCACCTGGGTCACTGTAAACAAGGGAAATTGCTTCAAAACTCACACTATATTATCTTTACACATCAATAATCAATTTAGCTCACTTAGGTTTTATATTATTATTTAAATCCTTCTCGAGTTGTCCCAGACATGGATATAACCTATATACCTATGGCAGTGCCAATCAGCTGTCTCCAATATTAACAATATAGAAACCAATTAGAGAGCAACGAAGTAGAGGCTAAACACGAATATAATTATAGGTGCACTGCACTCGCATACACATTCGTGTACACTCACACACGCACTCACGCACACATTCTCACACGCACTCACACTTTAGATGCATAAATCATCGTCCTGGTCTTCACGAGGGCCACAGATACTGTGAAATATCTTATCTGTGTTCGATAGATCCCAAAAGAAAGGAATTCCTGCCTGAATGGAGAAAATAGCCATTGATTTAAGAGAACCTGACTTGTCGGAGATGAAATATATAAGATTCAACATGAAAACTTTTGAAGACAACTGTTGCTTTTCAGAAAGAAAATGCGGTGGCATTAAGTAATATAATCTTTCTCAGAGTGCCAATAGGAGGTTTTACAAACACAGAGGCGGCCAAAAACTATGAAGAGCCTATTAAAAACACCGAAGATTCAATAAGCCATCAATTTTCCTATGTGAAGTATATTTACAGGCTTTGTCCTTAAACCCAGAGTATCCTTAAGAAGTTTGGCCTCAGTTTTCATGGCTGACACTCAGATGAAGAAATAATAATACGGGGAAAAGTTACATAAAAGTTGAAAATAAAAATGTCTCCATTATGAATTAAATTTCAGTTCAAAATTTAGGTTAGGCTTTTTTTCTTGGGGAAAAAATGTTAACTTTAACGTTTCTTATTAGAAACAGAATACAAAAAATATTTGAGTTTGAGTTTGGCTCTAATTGACCAATTCACCAGCCAAGGGACAAGTTACCTCGTGAAAACCAGAATAGGTAACCATTTCTGGATCACCAGGACACAAACACTCAGAAACTAAATACAAGTCATGAGATATTTTGTCGTTCATATTTTTTTTCCAACATTATTACATTTAGGCTCAACATGTATTTTACGAATTATATTATACCAAGGCATCCGATGTTCCATACTGGACAACAATCATAACGTTACCCAGGCGACAACACTGAACCCAGCTATGTCACTGGAGTTACAACACAGACCTCACAGCACATTACACTTTAGAGTTCAGTGTTCCCCGCCGTTGCTAGTGTCTATTTAGACCATCAAAATTCAAGATAGACAATCACAAAAGTCAATAAGAGACAAACACATCAAGGTCCACGCACAGCACAAACAACCAGAAGTATTCCACACACGGGCTAAAACAACACGGAGCATATTGCTAACAACATTGGTAAGGTCATCAAATACTCAAGTCTCAGACGGTGGCGGGTTACCCATGCTCTCCACCTCGGCCGTGACATCACTGCTTACAGTTACTTTAAACGAGATGACTTTAATCGAGGTTGTAGTTCGCATTCTGGAATTATTGTGTGGTCACTGAGCGATCAATGGGTGGTGAATTGGGCTTAAATCGTATCGACTATTCAAAGATCATTAAGGCTATATTTCACCTTTTCACCACCTGGCAAGAATACTTTAATCCTTAAAATAGGGATTAAAGTACATTCTCAGTGTATATACACTGAGAGACATAAACCTCTCAGTTTACACATCCATAATTGATGCTCTCGGAATGCAGAGCTCCTGAACATACAATGATTAAGTTAGGTAAGATTCGTCAGGAAACAGGACAAGTGTTTCCTGACGCGGGTCTTTGTCATGTGATGACCAGCCACTGGAGCTATTGGTCATCTGACAGAGGCCTTCCGCTGGATTACCGATCTACCCCTTTAAAAGTTAAGATTATAACAACACATTAATTTACACTTGTGTAATGTAAAAGAGGACCTCTGAACACCCATAGATAATACGTTCGCGTAATGCAAATAGTTCTTCCAAGTCCTCAGTAGTTGATGCTCGTGTAAACAGAATTTCTGAAAGTAATTTAGTCAATGCTTGCATAATGTAACACTTGAATGCTCATTGATTGGCAGCTCTTTGGCATGGGTTCAGTGCCCGAGGTGTGAGAATGAGGGCCCGTGCAGTCTGGACTGTTGCTAACTTGTGGACATAAGAAAATCGTTGGAAAGACTCGTTTATGGCCCAACAATAATGAAAGTTAAACAATACTCTTACGGTATTTTGTTACCTAATTACATCATTTATAAGAGGCATTTTTTTTTTTTTGCTGCATTTTGGCATGGGGCTCCCTCGGCTAGTTTCAACTCTAAAGCCTAGCCTAACTGTTAATAATACTTCTATAAGGGTTTATGATATAGTTTATGTAGCTCCTCGGCTCAAACCACGACAGCTGGAAACACCTGCTACATTATTAGTACTTTTGAAGTAATTATTTAGCATTACTGGTGGATGTTTTGGTTGGATACTGACAAACCGGTAAATAAAATGGAGCTTTGTAGAACATGTTTCTAGTGGGACATCGTATGTGTAGAGCTTTATCAAGTCTTGATTGATAAAGCTCTATACGGAGTGATACGTTGTCCTGATAAAAGCTTTTTATGTAACTTGTTCTGTCGTTAAACTGATAACGACTGAACTGAGGAACTGGCGTTATCACTTTAGTATAAGAACGACAGATTCTTTTTAGGCTAATTGCTATATTTATTTTTTTTTCATTAAATATGCCCCTTAAATATAAAGAAGCTGGGCCATCTCTTCCCTTACATATGTCATTATTTAACTTTAAAATAACATCAGTAATATTAACAATAATAATGATGCTTTGATCCACCAGTAAAGGAGCCTAATAACATTCCAGGCGATGTACTCGCTGGTGCTGGCGTGTACAATTGCATTCCAGACAAGGTACTACCTGGTATTGAGTACAATTAAGCGAGCGTGGTGTATAAGGCTCACTAGTGCAGGCAAGGGGAGGCAGCTGGGAGAAGGTAGGTTCATGGGGTGGGGGCTTTCACCCATTCTTAAGGGTGGTTATTCTTATGTTCTTTTTCCTCAACTTAGACGGCAAAAATAACGTTCTGTATTATGGGAGGATGGGGGAGCTTATCTACATGCGTTTCGTATTTGTTTGGAGATATTTTTTTAAGGCAGATTATTCCAAGACTTAAATCTAATGTTGAGCCGATGATGGTGGTGACTGGGGTTAGCGGTGTGTGTGTCGACTCCAGAGGAAAAGCACCTTCGTAGTAGACATTTTTTGTTTCCTCTATAGCTGGAGGTGTCTTCGTGTGAACTCGTC